AAGAGCTTCCTGGCAATAAGTGTATCCCAAAGGATGTCAAAGTCCCAAGTAGGACCTATACAGTCGTCATTAGTGAGGAGCCGCCCACAAAAAGATGTTGCAACTCATCCCAGAGGGAACTCTCAGACAAACCTTCAGAGGTGATAAAACACTGCCCAATGTTAAAACAGATTCCGTTGCCGAAAAGGCACTGTCGGGAAATAGCTACCAAATGGATAGAGGAGTGGGTCATGTGCAACAGGGAAAGGGATCAGCTGAGGCAAAGTGTAATCCCTATGACATGTTATCAAGAGGAAGTATGGCACCTGCGATTCAGGCTTGCTGACACCAAGAGAGCCCCCCAGTAAAGCCCAAGATGATCTTAAGGCATTGAAAGTGGCCAACCACAAGAAAAGGCAGTCCTAGAGAAATATCTGGCGAGACTGAAGTGAGTGGGAGTGAAGCCTAGGATAGTCTCCGGGTAGATGTATATGCATTTGAATTGTCTAAATTTATTTTGCCTATTTTATATAATGTTTTAAGATTAAAAGTTTTAAGTTAGAATATTGTGTATTGTAACTATAAAAATCAGAGCTAAAAGATAGTTTATTGTATTTTATTGTAATTTTATACACAAAGAAAGTTTTGTTACAATTAATTTTAAATCTTTGATAAGGAGTTTGCTCGCTCATGTGGAGTGTGCGTGCTCTTAAAAACAAAAGAAAGTTGACGAGCTTCTTGACTATGTCGCGAGTTGAAAGGTTTTAAACTTAATTGTTGGCTTGAAGACAAACCTGAAACAGATATATCACATGTTTTCTACCCGCTGTAGTTACGTAGGAATCTTTTTTTTCGTTTATTTAGTTTTAGGATAAACACGTGGTCCAGAAAGTCGTTGACATTTCTTCTTCTAGTTGCTTTGTTTCTTTGTTCTCTATAATAAATGATAACAGTGATGTTGTATTAACATATAGCATCCAGGTTTAAGAGATTAGCACTTTAATATTCTTCTCTAGCCGAGTCAATGTTGTCTAAGCGATAAAATCAACCAAGTCTGTAAAGGAACAAAGGTGACGCTCCTAACTGGGCAAAGTGAGTTTACTTGTTGAATTCAGGTATACTTTCTTGAACCAGTTCTGTTAAAGTACGTCATCACTTGATGACCTCTTAAGATCATCGTGTTTTAATTGCATGGGTTACTAATTTGAAACTGCTCCTGCTATCTGTCTTTCCTTCCTATTCTGACCTAGGAATATTTGATATAAACATACTGAATGTTAAAAATGAAGGTTTGCCTAATGAGTATATAAATACGAGCACATACAATTTGCTTCTTTCTTTGTTAATTGTGAATAAATAATCGCCAAGGCCTGCCCCCTTTTTGGGATATTTCTTAAACAATTTGGACAATATGCTGAAAGAAAGATAGCTGTGTAGCTAAACATACTCCAGAAGAATCGACTGTGATTCTGCCTGTGCAATACGTATTTATTTACATTTAGTTTAGAAAATATTTTTGATCAAATCTGCTGCTATTAGTGGCATTTTCTGTCTGATATTTGTCGGGAAATCAGTTTTGTCTAGAACTACCACAATGTTCCTCGAGCTACTGATGTGACTACTTTTATCTCTGAGGTTATCAATGCCACTGAGAATGCCTCATCTTTTTATCATCTCCCCTAGCAATGGCTAGTGATCAAGTTATTTGAGATGAGACTATTAGTTTCTTATCTTGTCTTTTCATTAAATACATAAAATAGGTTTTTGACCTATCCCTTTTCAAATAATTAATTATAAAATTGTGTTGTATGTTAATTAAACTATTAAAATTGTGAGTTCACCTAATTTCAACCATTCAACGCAACGTATAATTCATTGCTCATATCGTCTCCAAACGTTATACCTCATAATATGTCAATGATTTTGTGCTTATTATCTTCACCTCCAGAGGGTGTTGAGTGGGGGGGGAGGTATTTCAATTGGGTCCTTTTCTGTCTGTCTGTCTGTGTTTCCACGCATGTATATCAAAATATAATGGACCCACGTGTAAGAAAATTGTACAAAAGATGGGAAATCAGTGTAGGACAGTCCTCCCCAAATTTAGTTCAGATTCATATCCGGATTCTTGATCACTTTAAAGCATTTTTGCGGTTTTGGGTTAGCAGTGTGTGACCGGATTTGTACCAAATTACACGGGCACATTAATGTTGAGACTCCTCATCACACTACAAAAAATGATTCGGATCGTTCATCATTCTGGATGTGAAAAGGATTTTCTGAATTTTCGAAAGTGATATTTGAAGTTATCCAGTATTAACGCATGCAATCTCGAAGAGGAGAAGCGGAGTGAGGGTATGCAACCTCTCTGATTGCTCTTTTTAATTAATCATTGGTTAATCATGAACTCGTTTACTTACGTTACAAGTATTCGATTTCTATGTTTATGCATACGTGATTCCAAGCTTCTATGTTGTTAAGCACAAATACACAATAGATTATCTAAATTTTAGCGTTATAAGCCATCAAGCTTACTACTGACCTATCAGGGGCAATTTTAAGTTATACATTTGAGTAACGTATATTATATATTTACATACATATCTTTATTTGTTGAATTTCGCACAAAGCTACTCGAGGACTATCTGTGTTAGCTGTCCTTAATTTTGAAGTGATAGACTAGAGCAGGGGTCACCAATCTTTTTTCACAGTGGACCAGATAACTGAGAGAATGACGAGCGCAGGCCGCATAACCATTTTTTTTCAATACAATACTGTGAATACACAAAAAATAAAGACAACAAACAAGTGTATTTACCAAAAAGTTATCAAAGAAGGCAAGGTTAG